TCTGGCTTCTTGACCACAGGGACACTGGAAGGCAATGGCAGTGAGCCCTTTGCCACCCATGAAATGAATTCCTGGCTCCTGGCTTGGATCCCTGGCCACTGCAGCCATTTGGAAGGTGAGCTACTGGGAAGAGCATGCTCTCTCTCTGTTTCTGTATCTGACATAATGCCTGCCTCTGTCAGACCACACTCTCTGAGGAGCTTCCGATCTCGGCCTCAGGGAAGGGAGCTGGTACAGCTGCTCCTATTTTCCCTGCAGGGAGGAGGGCATTGCCTGGCCAGTGGCCTGGGTGCCTGGGCTGGGCCAGTTACCATTCCTGGATTTCTGAATTTTTTTTTCCTTGAAGGCTGAGGTTCGAAGCTCTCCACTCCCATTCTGGCTCATTTCCATTCCCCATTTACTGAGTTGCTTCATGGTGATGTTGGGTGCTTAACTACACAGGGAGTAGCACAGCCAGTAGGCGGGTGGACAGCAAACCCAGGCAGGCATTGTGTGAGTATGGAAGGGGGTTGCTGGGCTGGGAGAAGGGGCCCCTCTGTGACCTCAATCAGGGACCTCCCCAAGGGCTCTGCTTCCTTACCAGGAAAATGGAGGCTCCAGGGGTTCTCTTGAGGATGCAGCTGGCTCTGCGGGGACAGGCATCATGGGACTGACTCCACTGAGGGCCTCTGAAGTCAGGGGCCTGGATGGTGGAATGGGCCACAGGATAGGGGTCTCCTGAGCCCTCCCCAATGCTGCCTGCACCCTCAGATGGTCGCAGCGTGTCCCTGCCCTGCCCTCCCTCTCCTGGGATCCCCAGGCAGCATCACCTCCGAGCCAGGCAGGCTTTGTAGCAGCTTCTGGGAGCAAGCGCCCAGGACCACATGAGGAGCACATGCTGGCCAGGATGAGAAATTCGCCCAGTTTGGGCAGAAGCTTAAAACAGCAAACAATTGATTTGAAAATTCTGCTTTCTGCCATCTCAGAAAAAGCCCTCCAAAGCTCTCCTGCCTCCCTGGACCCAGGTTAAATACTGGAGGCGTTGTTTAAAATGTTTTAAAATTGTGCTTATTTGAGAGGGGGAGGAAAAAAGGAGGGAGAGAGAGAGAGAAAGAGAAGGGGGAGAGAGGGAGAGAAACCCAGATGCTGAGTCACTGCACAAGTGGGTACCATGGTTAGGACTGGGCTGGCTGAAACCCAGAAGGGGCCTCAAGCCAGGCCTCCCACGCTGGTGGCAGGAACCTGATTGTCATGTGCCATCTCCCAGGGCCTGCTCAGGTGCCTCCTCACAGGTGGGTTTTGGGTTTTAGGATGTGCTTCTCAATAGGATCCTTCCTTCTTTACATGCCATTGCCTAAAACCCAGGGTGGCTTCCTACTGTCCTTGGGGTCCAGCCCAGCTCCCCAGGAAACATGTTCAGTTCTTCAGCATCTGGCCCTAGCTCTGCCCACTGCTCCAGCCTCTCTTCCCTCCTGGAAATCGGCACTGGTCATATACCAAGCCCTGCACCCCCTCATGCCTCTAGGTCTTCTTCTGCTCCCTTGATTGGACAGGCTCTTTCTTGCCACTCCCATTTGGCTGATGGGTTCCTGGTCACTCTGGAGGCCTTAGTTTCTGCTCACCACCAGGAGCTCCCCTGAGTCCCTAAGGGGAGCTGCTCCTGCTGTGAGCCCTAGCCCCCGCACTCCTGGCCATCCCTGTACATGTGGTATGAAGGTATCTGGATGGAGAAATGATGGGTGCATCCCCCAAGGCTATGAGCCCTCGTTGGGGGTCGCCCTTAGTGGGAGCTAATTGCCTCCCCCAAGACTGCTCTTCCTTCCACAGGTCATGCCCTGCTGATGCCTGCTTCAACTAGGTCAGCCACCTGCCACCCCTGAGACAGCTCCAAACAGTCACCTCATCTTCAGGACTTCCTGTCAGTCTGACCAAGGCTTCCGTGGAGGGAACATCACAACCCAGTGTTGTCCTCTGCACGTGTGACTCCTTTTCCCTGCCTTCCAGAGCATTACAGCAGTCTCTAGTTCTGAAAGCTCTTCTCCACGACCCTACTTGTGCCACGTGGGCACTCTTCAAGGCCATTAGGGGTCATTACTGCTCTTGAATCAATGTTCAGGTGTTTCAGCTGGGCCTTCAAGTCCCTCAGCATCCGCTCCCTGTGTACTGACAGTGAAGATCCCAATTGGATGTCTAGGGAGCTTGTACGCATTATAAGTATTCCAGCAAATTTAAAAAAATTCATCGGAGTTGTTGGGGATGGCGGGGATGGGATTAGGTGTTACAACACAGGGCAAAAGTGCAAAAGTTGAAGGAGGTGTTCATTGTATTTGTGCCCTGGCTGCCACCCAAGTGTCCTCCATGGACACAGGGTGAGGATACTGGTCCCCGGGTCCGTGTGTGTCCTAGCATGCACATGGGCACACACAGGCAGGTGTTTGAACATGGTGTGTGGGGAGACAGGCCAGGTGACACGCCCCTTCCCACTGCTCCAGCCTTGCTTGACCTGCCCCAGATCAGCCATATATGAGAGCAGGGCCCAGGTGAAGTCAAAGACAAGATCCTGGGTGATAACTGGTGGGCCCCCAGCTCCTGAGCTCACAACACAGACCACCTGGTGAAGACAACCCCCACCATCACCCGGATGGGGAAAGCCAATGCCATGTCTACCTCCTTCTCTTCAGGGGTTGCCTTGCTGGTGGACAGTGGCAGAGCTGAGATGGACAGGTCATTTTTGGCAGTAGCAAAGCACCAGGCCTCCCTCCCACATGCACAGAGGGAGCAGGTGGCCTGGGGCTGCAGGGAGGGGGCCAGAGGGAGGAGCACAGGAGAGGAAACTGCAAACGTGCCAGGGGGGTATGTGTGTATGTGTGTGTGTGTGTGTGTGTGTGTGAGTGCGCGGCTGGGCAGGCACTTGTTTAATGAGTGGATGTGCCGGGCACGTTAATGAGTTATGTTCATTCATGGTGCACTGCCTCCAAACGGGAGAGTCAGCCAGGTTCTGGGGTGGAGGAACTGGGGATGGCAGCCAAGTTAGGGAGCTGCTTGGCTTCTGGGGCAGGGCCTCCTGTGACGGCAGGCGGGGCAGTCTTTGTCCTGGGTCTCTGGGGGCCTCCTTCCTTCTCTCCCTTCAAAGGAAAGGCCAGCCTTTGCCAGCCAGTGACAACTTGGCTCCAGGCCGGCTTGCAATTTACAATCTGGGCTCTGGAAGCTTCTGAGGGCAGGGCCTGGCTTTGGGGATCCTGGGTCAGGGCTGATCTTGCATTCCCTGCCCACTCTCACGGCCCCTCACAGCCCTCTCCCCCTGTGGCAGTGAGGACCTCAAATCCTGGAGATGATCAGCCCTCTCGCTGTCCTTCCTAAAACCCTGGTTTTCCAAGGAGCTGGGGAGGCACCATTGCGGCAGCAGACAGGTTCCTGGGTGAGTGAGGAAGTGAGGAAGCTAGGACTGAAGCAGGGAGTGAGGGGGGCAGTTTGTATCTGGAGCAGGTCGGAGGAAACAGGCAGCCAGGGTACAGAGATCTCTGGCTAAGAGGGGGAACAGTGAGGGTTCTTTTGAGAGGGATGGATGAGATTGCCTTTAGACATTCAGATTTCTGGTTCTGGAACATGGCACTCTGAGGGACCCTTGGCGAAGCCCCCTGCCCCTGAGTTACAAAACCCACCCTGAACACCCACAGCTTGGGAGGGATGGAGGCACCAGTTTGGTGTGCAGATACTTTGAAGAGAACACTCACAGGCCTATGAAGTCAGCCAGGCTGTGGTAACTGCCTGGCCACAGTTCCCCTTGTGTCGTAACAGTAAGTGCCACTGCAAAACTGGGAAAAAAATTGCAGGAAGCCTCTGGGCCCTGGGCCCTGGCAAATGAACAGGCTTTTGACTTTGGGGCTGCTAACCCTCCACCTGCCTGTACCTGGCCCAACACAGCTCACATGGAGGCCTGGGTGACAGCAGGTGTCTTGGGTTCCAGTGAGGGCTTTTCCTTCCTTCCTGGACTTTTGCATTCACCCTCCCCCTAACTCCCACTGCCTGGCAGTAAGAAGAATCCCTGCCAGGGGGAGGGTGTGCAGGCCTGGGCTCAGCTCTGGGTGGTCTGGACTGCATGCTCTCAAAATTCCTGCCGGACCCTTTTCCAGCTCTCTCTGCCTTCCTCATGGGAGAGCCATCTCATGCACCTGCAGTAGCCAAGGTGTCTTAGAGGAAGAATTTCGCAGAATTTCCAAGTCCCATCTCCAGAGAGTCAGGGCAACCAGCGTGGATCTGGAGGTTGTGAGCTGAGCATGGATAGGAGGCTGTGATGGGCCCAGGGCTTTTGTGGGAGGGCACTGGCTTCCTAGGCTCCCCTCCCCCCATGAGGCCTCCACCCCTCCCCCTCCTACAGTCTCAAGGTCCTAGGCTAAGAATGGTATGTTGGATGGAGAGTCCACCTGGGGTGGGGTGAGGGGCCTACATTTACAAAGCTAGATTGGCTGGAGGGACCAGGCTTCCCTTCTGCAGTGGCCGCCGTCGGGGAATGTATGACCTCGCCTGAGGAAGTCACCTCCTCTTTCCTGGAGATCAGCAGCGAGAAACTGTGGGGCCTGGGGTTTGTGTGTGTGCGGGCGCACGCATGTATGCCTCTGTGCAAGTGTGTGTGTGTGTGAGTGTGTGTGTGTGTGTGTGAGTGAGTGCGCGCAAAGCAGGATAGGCTGGGCGAGCCCGGCCCCCTCCTTCCCCGTCAGCCCCTGCCCGCGGGCGGCGCCTCCTCTGAGAGGTTCCACCTTTGAAACTCGCAGTCGCCGCGCGCGGTGGTCGAGAGGCGAGAGGCGGGAGGCGGTGGTCGGGGTGGGGAGACGGGGAGGAGTCTGGCCATGGATGTGCGCTCTGCGATTGATAGGAGCGGCGTGTGGGCGTGAGAGTGTGAGTGTGTGTGTGTGCGCAGGGTGCGTGCGCGCGCGAGGCCTGCCTATTTTCCTCCTTGCAGCAGTCAGTCAGGGAGGGAGAGGGAGACGCAGGCAGAGAGAAACGCGAACGCAGCCCAGCGCCCTCCCGCCCGAGGCGCCCTCCCTTGGTCCACGCACAGGCGCCTTCGCTGGGAGCCGCAAGGTGCTCCTCAGACCTCAAGGGCGCAGCCCACGGTCGGCGGGCTCTGGCGCAGCTTTTCCTAGGATCGCTCCTGAACACGACCCCAGACGGGGATGGTCAGTGACTGCCGCCGTCTGGCACTCAAGCGGACGCGGTGAGGGCACGATGGCGCTGACGGCTCAGAGTGGGTCCCGTCCGGAGCTCTGGCTACTGCTGCTGTGGGCAGCCGCGTGGCGCCCGGGTGCCACGGCGTGCCCCGCCCTCTGCACCTGCACCGGTACTACGGTGGACTGCCACGGCATGGGGCTGCAAGCGGTCCCCAAGAACATCCCGCGGAGCACCGAGCGCCTGTGAGTATGGCCCTGGGCCAGACCCAGCGCGCCCCGAGGTTGGCCTCTCCCTCATTCGCTGGTCACAGTTCAGACTGAGGGTGGGGATAGTACGGTTGGTGCCCCGAAGAGTGGGCCACACAGCCTAACAGACAGGTCAGTGCCTGCCAGGGTCTCCCGGAGCCAGGGGCCAGGAGCCTGGAGCCCGGCGGCTTTCCTGTGCTTGGATTCAAAGGGTTCTGGGCGAGTTGTCAGCGCCCCTGCTTGCACCTGCACCCCATGCTGGACACTGGCAGGCCCTCCCTGGGGGCGCCAACGCCGCTGCTGCCACTGCTGCTATATTCCTCCCGGGTGCCTGTGAATTTGGGCGGAAAACCTGGCTGGTCCCCAGGGGCCGCTTCCGCTCTTGCCAGGCGCCGAGGTTCAGCGGCTGCATTTGGACACCTGGGGCTGGGGCTGTGCTAGGAACCAGTGTGGGTTTGGGCTGTGAGGCTTGCTGCTTGCAAAGGAGGTTAGTGTGAGGGGATGGAGCTGAAGTTTCTGGTCTCCCCTTTTTCTCCATTGTGTTCCCCCCTCCCCAACCGTGAACATTCTCTGCCCGCAGGTGTCTGGCACCAGTGCCTCATTCCCTGCTCTCCCCCTACACCCAGCCACCCCAACCTACACAGACAATGGGGTGCGAAGGTTTGGAGTACAGTTCAGTTGAGCACTTAGGGAGGGAGGGAGAGGAACCGTTCTGGCCCGGAGGGATGCCCAGATAGCATGGGCTTGGGGCGGAGATGGAGGATCAGGACATGAAAGCCTCATTTCTCTTCTGCCCTGTTCTTTCACGTCTGAGTTCTTTGGGGCCATGCAACCCTCAGGCACCTGCTCTAAGCTTCTTCAGAAGGATGCGCGTGTGCATCTGTGTGTAAGACTTATACAATTTGTTTCCTGTGATCAGCCTCCAGAACGTATGTGGCTGCTATTCAGAAAGCCACCTCTGCAGGGTGAGTCCTAGGACGTGGGCTCCATGTGTGGAGGTTGCCATAGGCAGTGCCCCACAAGAGACATCTGAGGATGAGTTAGGGCAGAGCTGCTGGCCTACCTGAAGTGTGCCCACTGCTTCCCACCCACCTGGTGGGGTGACCACAGCGGGCTGTCAGGGAAGGGGCTGATTTTGAGAACTTCTGAGCTCATTTCCATGGTTCCCAGCTGGTCAGAGGCAGAATGCTGACTCTGGGGGAGCTGTCTCCTAGATCAAATGCTGTAGCCAGGGAAGCAATTAGCAAACACGCATGTGCCCGAGACTCCTGCAAGATTCCTGTGGCGGTTTGGGAGAATTTGCAACCTTGATAGAGTTGCGATGGGAATGGCCGTGTGTGAGTGGATGCACACCCATGTGTGTTGGAGGCCCGGGGAGTAGGGGAGGTGGGGTGCACCCTGGGCTTGAGAGGAACAGGGCATCAGGAATCTGCTGGGGCACTTCTCCCTGCTGCTGTCACCAGGATCTGGGGTTCATCCATCCCCCTTCCTCTGAATCTTGAATTCAGGTCCTTGCTCTCTCACTGCTACAGTGTTGAGGGTGACATCTGCTTTGGCTTTTCTCTCTGGTCTTTTGCAATCTGAGATAGAGGCGGAGTTTTCTAGTACAGAGGAAGGAGTCGGCTGTGTAGCCTTGGGCAAGTGACTTGGTTCTCTGAGCCACCGTTGCTTTGCACCAGGAGATTGGAGCTGGGAATGCATAGGGTCTCTAGTTCTTGTGAGTGTAAGGGGTGGTCGATGGGGTGCTAGGTGTGCTCTGAGGAGAGCTCATGGTGGGTGCTTCATTATTGTGATTTCACGAATGTTTCCAGAGCCAGGATCCACCCTGGGTCCTGAGGGTGCTCCAGGCAGTGAATCTGTCCCTGTCCTCCAGGTCACGTGGCCAGGGCGACTGGTAGAGGGCTGGGCTGACTCCGTGACAAGGCTGTGAGAGCGTGGGGTGGGAAAGCACTTCTTGAAAGATGGGCCATCTTGCCAGGGTAGGGATGGATCCTGTTGAGGCAAGAGGGCGGCGACTCAGGCAGAGCAGGCAGAGTGGCATCCAGGGAGTGTGAGGGGCTGTGGGGCTTCAACGAGAGGCTATCAAAGGTTAGGAAGGCCTTGCTCAACCTGGATGTTGTCTTGGGGCTTGCTAGGTGGGAGCCTAGGGGTGCTATTCAGAGACTGAGCTGGCTCTGATCTTTGGCTGTGTGCACACAGCTTCTGGAGCAGGTGCCAGATGTGGGAAGCAGACAGCTTTTCCAGGACAGGCCCCACAAGAGCCATCTGGAGAGAGAAAGAACATTGTCTGAGTACTGTGGAGAGTGCCCAGGCCGACTCCAGATAACTGTGGCAAATGCTTCCTCTAATCAATGTGGGTGTCATGCGGTATCGGGCCTGCAGCCGTGCTGCTTCTGTGGCCGTGAAATTTTTATAGACTGCAGCTGCGCATCTGCCTTTGTCCTTGGGGCACACGGTGCGGCTGCCTGGAGCCCCTGCAGACTAGATGAGCACAGATTCCACAACTCAGGACCCAGACTTATCCTTAGTGGATGACATTGTCATTGGCTCGAGTCAGGCACTTCTAGGAAGAGGTTGTGTCGGCCCCAGAGCTGTGGAGGAGGGGCCTTAGCCCAAAGGGGCTATGGGGCTGGTGGGCCAGTGGGGAGAAGATGGCCACTGATTTCTGGTGAGAGTACAAAGTGAGGTTAGAGGTATGCAGGGGCCTCCAAGAGGGTGAGTATTCACTTTCCTTGTCTTTGGTGTAAGGCTTTCAACTTCGAGTGGGATTAAGAAGCAAAATGCAAGGTGTGCATTTGACCTGATGTATGCCTGCATCCCACATTAGAGTGCCTGGATTCAAATCCTGCCTCTACCATATCTGATTCTGGCTTCTGCTAATGTGTACCCCGGGATCTGGCAGGTGATGGTGCAGGCCACTTGTGTGGGAGACCCAGATGGAGTTCTGGGTTGCCAGCTTCAACCTGGCCTGTCCTTGGGTGGGCTCTTGGGAATGAACCAGCATATGGAAGATCTCTGTCTATCTCTGAAATAAAATGAAAATATAATCTTTCAGACTTGAGTGTCCCGGACAGTGTGTGTGGCAATCACGGTGTGTGTGCACATCGCTTCCCCTTCTCCTGGAGGGGTGTGTCCCGGTTGGTCCTGGTCACTCAGGATGGAGAGAGGCAGGTGGGGCCCCTGGGAAGGCAGGCTTGTTGGCTGCTGTTTGGCCCCACACCTGCTGTGTGTCAGGTCACAGAACCATTTTTTTTTCTGTCCCTTGCCTCCTGGTCAGTTTGTCCACCCTGCCCTAGCTCCAGGCATGCTGCAGAGGCCTGGAGGTGGGTGGGGGTGGAAGGTGGAGGGGTAGGACTCCTGTGGGCTCAGCCCCCTGAGTTCTGGCAGCCCCATTCAACAGGGCTGGGGTAGGACTACTCCCAAGGAAGACAGCCCAGGAGCCTGACTGAAATTCAAACTCATGATGGGCGGGTGGCTGTGGCAAGCAAGGACAGGAGCCACTGAAGCCATGGTTGTCACTGGCATCTGGCTGGCCTGGTTCTCTGGTTAGAGCCCCGAGGTCTCCTGCAGTAGAACCTGTGCCATACAGGGATGTCGCCTCCTGGTGGAGTGGGTGACTCTTGCTCTTCTCGGTTTTGATGTGGTGGCCATTCCCCCGGGCTTGAGGCTGAATCTCCGTGTCAGGCACCTCTATTTAGAGACCCGTTTCCCTGTGTGCAGGTTGATGGGGGAGGAGCCAGTGAGGGGATGCATATGGAGGGCCTGGCACATGGCTGGGTTTCTACATTCAGGACAGGTCTGTGAACGTCCTTTGGGATCCAAACCTTAGGTAATATTGCTATGATTACATTAAAAACTTATTTATTTGAAAGAGTGACAGAGAGGAGGGAGAGAGAGTGTGAGAAAGAAAGAGATTTTCCATTTGCTGATTTATTCCCCATGAGCCCAGAGTTTCTTCTGGGTCTCCTACATGAATGCAGAGGCCTAAACACCTGAGGCTTGCTCTGCTGCTTTCCCAGGTGCCTTAGCAGGGAGCTGGATCAGAAGTGGAGAAGCTGGGACTTGAATTAAACCTAGTCTGTTGATATGGCAGGTAGTGGCTTAACCTGCTGTGCCGAAGACCAGACCCAGTTACAATTTAAGACACTTAAGCTGAAGGATGAGGATTCAGGTGTGGCAGAGGAAAGCTTGGGAAGTAAGGATCTGGACATTGCCCAGGCTCCTTTGGACTCTACAGGGAGCATCTTCAGCCCAGTGCCCTGCGGCCTGGGGTTTGGACACCTGTTATGTGCACAGATTTGAAAGAGATTGGAACAGGAAACCTGCATATGTTGGATGGTGGTGCTGGTGGTGTGGTTTGGGGCCAAACACCAGGGCTTTAGCTCTGCTGTGGCCCTCAGCAACTGGAATGCATCCCATCTTACAGCAGACGGTGTCTACTGAACATGTGCTCCGTGCCAAGGGAACACACTGCCCTTCTCGCCCGGAGTCTTAGTCCAGCTGGGGACATAGGGATTAATAACCTAATAAAGTGGAATAAGTGTTGTGTAGGAAAACGAGACTTCCCGGGAGCCCTGAAGCTGGAGACACTAGCATCTACTTCAAAGGCTCCTGGCGAGGATTCAAGTGTGACACCTCTCCACGGAGTCTGTGCACTGCTTGGGCAGTCAGCAGGTGCCACATATACCCTACTGTTACTGTCATTATTGAGGTGACCGCTGGATCCCAGTGTGGCCCTCATAGCCCCTCCCCCACCAGGTGGCCACAGGCAGCCCCGGAGCACGTGGGGACGGCTGGCCTTCTTCAGCCCGGCCGCCAGCAGTGGGGGGCCATTCTCTTCTGGGGCTGGGCGAGGGGTGGCAGAGACAGGCAGCCTCTGCGTCAGGGGGAGCAGACGGGCACTTGGCGCGGTTGTGTGCCGGCATTAGCAGCTCGGCGGGGCTCTCTCTTAATGGGATTTTCTTCCCCAATGCTGTCATTATCGCCATACAAATACT